CACTGAATTCAACAAAGGCCAACACCCCACTCCTGGGAAGGCTAGGGATATAAGGAACCTACTTCAACATAATAAAGTCAGTTTTTACAATCCCATGGCCAACATCAACCTAAAAGGAGAGAACCCCAAAGCATTTCCAGTAAAATCAGTAACAAGACAAGGATGCCCACTCTCAATACCTACTCAATATAGTACTTAAAGTCTTAGCTAGAGCAATCAACAACTAAAGGACATCAAGATGATACAAATAGAAAACAAAGAAGTCAAAGTATCAATATTTGCGATAATAGAATTTTATATATAAAAGAAACTAAAAACTCCTCCAGGAAACTTCTGAAAAACACTTTCAGTGAAATAGCTGGACATAAAATTAACACACACCAAAGGAAAAAAAATCAGTAGCCCTCCTATGTACAAAGGACAAATGATGAACCGAGAAATCTGGTCAAGAACCTGTAGCTAGAGAGACACTAGGACAGGACTTACTACTACAATTTGATAAACTGATACAGTCTCCAACCTCTTTCTAAATACTACCCTTATGTCTGTAGATGAGTCCAGCTTTCATCTCCTCAGAGAAGCTTCTTTTTCTGGTGGACGGAGGTTAACACAGAGAAGCATAAACAGTCAAAGTACAGAGAATGAGTGTCTGATGTGTGAACATACCCAAAGGGAATGTTTATAAAATTCATCCCTACAAAGCTCAAAGAATACCACGGAATCCTTTGTAATACCATGTTACAATGGATTGCAACAGCCAGAAGTCAAGTATGCCTGCCATGGAACAGTGTCTTCTGGACATGATGGACAGTTGCACTCATGAACCTTCAATGATTCTGGTTGACTACGAAAGACATGCACAAGGTCTACTTAGTCAATATTCCACTATAAAATGGATGAATAGGCTCAAAAGGCCCTACTCCTTGTTGAGAAGCTATGAACAGTCAATGGCTTCTGGAAGAGAGAAAGTAGGTTTTCAAGAGTAAATCCTGGTTATGTCGGCTGAAGTGGACAGCACTACATTCACAAGGGTGCAGGCAATTCTAGTTTGACTCAATAAGTTTCTTTTGTTTTGGTGGAGAAGGGAAAGAGAGAGAGAGAGACAGAGAGAGAGAGAGAGAGAGAGAGAGAGAGAGAGAGAGAGAGAGAGAGAGAGAGAATTCCTGGTGGATATGGGGGAGAGATCCAGGTGAAGTTGGAGGAAGCAAATGATGGGTTTGATGAAAATAAAATGCACTAATGTATTAAGGGGGAAAGATATTGATATTCTAAGACACTTTCTATTTATTTTATCAGGAGAGCAGAAACATCTACTCTCTATAATAATTCTCTATTATAGATATTTCAAAATCATTGGCAAAGGCAGACAAGAAGCAATCCCACCTAGAAAAGAAATGAGTTGATCACTCACAGCTTGCACCAGAGTGTTGACAGTTACACACAGATCCAAATATAGTGCCTTCTGGCAAAGGAATAGCACAGAGCAGGAGGCAGAGTGGAGACACCTGACACCACTGCACATGTAACTGGAGCTGAAGTTTTCCTTGTTGTGGAGACAAATACAAGAAAGAATCCAGGCAAAGAACAAACCACATTGCCTTGGTTGTAGGAATTTCTTTGAAGATGGCTTTTAAATCTACTGGTGTGTCTTTTTGTTTGTTTTTTGTTCTTGTTTTAATTTTGCCATGGACTTGCCAAATATGCACAAAATAGAAAGAAATCGAAAGAATTCTATAATGAATTCCAATGTATCCATTATCTATACTTATTAATTACTATCACTGATGTAACAAAAAGAAATTTTATATATAAATTTAGTTATGTAAAACATTATGTCTGACAAATTCTCACAGGTTGTTTCTAATGTTACCTAAAACTTCAATTCATTCATGTTGTATTTAAAATTTGGTAAAAAAGAGTGCTTACCAGGTTCTTTTCAGATTGCAATTCTCAGGGCAAAAAAAAAAAAAAAAGGGAGGGGAGGCGTTTTTCAATTAAAACTAAGTATGATCAGAAATTTACTTTTATTTAATTCAACTATATAATTGAAAGGTATGCCAAGACCCATTCATGCTAGTAAACAAGTTTGCTAGAAGGTGATGGAATCCTCAGCCATCTCTTTGTTGATTCACACTAAAAAGATGTCTATAAGGCATCCATCAATCTTTCAGGTATTTTAAATGAAGAAAAGTGTAACTGGAAAATACAGTTTAGATCAGAACATTGATGACATGTGGATTGAAATAACGTAAGAAGCAAGCATTTCAGAAGTCTCATGTTGTTAGGACAAAAGATGGACACTTCCCATGGATAATAACTGTTATAAGGGATGAACCCTTCCTATGGGTGACTGTTGTTGTAAGGGATGGACTCTTGTTATAGGTGATAACTATTGTGAGTGACTGAATCTTCTCATGGGTGTTAACTGTTACAATGGATGGACTCTTCCCATGGGTGATTGCATCTGTGAGGAGTATAGGATAGTCATAGCACCTCCCTCAGCCCAGGGCTTGACAGCACCAAAGGGCTGAGTTTCAAATATTCCTTTTCAACATTGCTGGTTTCTGTTTCTGTCACTGAAACATAGAGGCATGCTGTTGCTGTGACTGCAGCTTATCTGCAGGAATGCCATTTTGTATTAAAGTCCTCTGTCTTGAGCAAAACTGCAAGGCACATTGCCAAACTTCAGGAAGAAACCTGATCAGCTACTATTGATCCCTGATTATGCAACCTATCACCTTCATGTCACTTAGACTTGAATGCTGGCAAAACAGACTCATAATTTTCCTAATTCTCCAGATGTCAGAGAAAAAACTCAAGCCTGTTTTCTTCTTTTCCTGAAATGGTTAAAGAAAAGAGAGCTGGGAAATGGCTCAGGAGTAAAGCACCTGTTGAACAAGTGAGAGCATGTGACTATGTATCCCCAGAACCCACATTAGCTATTATTCATCTTCAATCCAAGCTCTCCTACAGCCAAAGGGAAGGTGAAGACAGGATCATCTCTGGAAGCTCATAAGCCAACTACCTGGCATACTTGGTGACAAACAGCACTCAAATAAGGTAGAAGGCAAGGATTAGCATCTGAGATTGTCTAACTACTTCTATATGTGCTAATTGCATACGCTCTCTAGCGCTCACACAGACAAGCCACACACACAGCACATTACACAGAGATTAAGAAAACGAAGGAGGGGAGAATAGTAATCCTATCTCTGTGAGAACTTATCAAGGAATCAAAGTCCTTGCCTGGTTTTCAAGTTGAACATTATAGATGTTTTTGTCTTTTTTAAATTTAATAACTCTGTTAATATTTATCTTTAAAATTAATAAAATGAATTTCCCTTCATTTATTTGCATGATACCAATCTCAGATTGTTATATTAACTTAATGTACCAACATCTTGAAGCTTGAAATGTTTTGAGACAGTCCAGGAAGGCCAACAACTCACTATCATACTGCCTTAGCCTCCTGCACTGTCACACTTGGAAAACACGACAATGATTTCAAAAAAGTTTGTATTATCTGATTTTCTCTTTGATTAGCTCTCTTTCATACACATTAACAGAGGACTCACAAAGAAGATGTAGTCATCCAGCACAGCCAGCACTCAGCACTCCTTTTGTCGTCCTGAGTGCCTTCCTCCCCAACCCAGCCTGGGCCAATCCATTAGAATTTGGCCTGACCAACCATGCCATTGTAGGGAAGATAATATTGCTAGTGTCGTGGATGAAGTGACCACAATAAAGGACAGCTTGCCAGGGAAAGAAAGCACACAAACACAATATAAGTTTTCTGTGATATAGTCTTCAGAAATAGTGAAGCTTGTGTGGTTTAAAGTTTGAAGAATAAGCAGATGGTTGTAGAAAAATATTATTGGGAAAAACAGATGTACTTGTAAGAAACAGAGGAACTTAGCAAGAATTGTGTTTCAGACACACCGCAATGCTAGATTTTAGAGAAGGCACCTCTTGTTATGTCACTACCGCTTCCCAGGAAAGTCAGAGAATTATTTTATGAACTACTCCTGTGAGGCCTGAAGGAAGAAATTCCCATTTCTTCTGCTTTCTAAACTGCCATGGTAGCATATTTTGGGGTAGAAGGCCCAAAATTAAATTAATGTCTATTGATGCAAAGTCTTAAAAGTTAGGTCCAAACAAAAGAAAAATGTTGGGAAAGAGTTTATCACGCCACTGTTGGTTGCTGACACCATTGGCTGTGATACTTGTCAGAAGTGGATTTCCTCCTCCACCAAGGTGGTTGGCAAGAATATCACATAGTACCAAGGCAGTGGGGATGCAAGACATTTTCTCGTGATAGCATGTTTATATTAATAATATCTCTGAAAGGATCACAGTTTATTATCATATGTACAAATAAGATGTTGGATAAGCATTCTGGTCAAAAGTAATTCCCTTTTAGTTTTTAAAAATAAACAAATCCTATGGTTAATTCTATGAAATCTAAATTAAATGTTTTTGTTCACATGTACTTACCAACATTTGTTTTCTTGTCTATGCAATTACAACTATTATAGACAATCTCTTTTAAGTGCCTACTACAGAATGACATTAAAATGTCTTGCTGTATCAAAAGTATGCTATATTTAGCCCAGAGTAGCTTACACATTGAATATAAATACAATTCTTATTAATCTCCATATTTTTTCTTTAAAAATTTTAAGTAGCAGCATGAGACGGGTTATTACTTCTTGCAAGTGAGAACCTTGCAACTACATCTTTGGGACATGAGCAATGAATAGCCTTTGGGTGTTATTTGTTGTAACTGTGCTCTCCTGGTATGTTGTCATAACACTGATTGGAAATTTCAATACTTTTATTATGAAAGATTTTGGCTTTGGTTGTTTATTAAGGCTTTTAATAAATGCTCATATGTTGGGGAAGTCCTTTGTCAATAAAGTACTGTTGAGCCAATAGGAATCTAGATAGGTGGGACTAGGAGTCCAGGAGGATTCTGGGAAGGAGAAACACGGAGAGTCCACATGTAACTGCCATGGGGTAGGAAGCCCGGAACTATTCTCTGGTAAGAGAAATACTTAGATTAACAATTATGGGGTAATTACTTGAGTCAGAGCTAGCCAGTAAGAAACAAGAAAAGGCCAACAGCTTCATAACTAATATAGCCTCCTGTGAGTTTATTTGGGACTGCTGCGGATCTAGAACCAGGCGGGCAGGAAGGCTTCTCACAAAGAAAAAGCTTCTCTTAACACTCATACTCTTGTAGGGTAAAGCAATCAACCAAGAAAGAAAAATAGGCTACGTGGGAAAAGAAAAATGTAGATAAGGAAAAGAAGAAGAGACAAGGAATGAATGGAGTAAGGAAAGGCACCTAGCTTCTTGGCGAAGGACAAGTTGGAGAAAATGAATAGAAGAATGGGTTTCAGAGCAGTACTGTTATTGTTGGTGAGAGATCTCCCAGAGTCACTGAGGAAGTAAAAATTCCCATGTAGCCTGAAGTGACATTCAGCCTCCAATTCTCACCTTCTCCTCTTTCTCTCAAGTTAATCACGCTCCTATGTAATTCTACTTATTTATTCATTATCAAGAACTGCTAGGGCCTTCCTTCTTTCCTTTCAATCTTAAGGTAATAACCCCGCCCCCTCAAAAGAAGTCCTTAAGCTGAAAGGAAGAGCTGTGTGACACTGATGTGAGAGAGGACAGAGATCTGAGGAACCCTCAGAACACATACTATCCTTGCCTGAGCTGGTGGCCCTGGGTTAAGCTTCTGTGACCTAAGTAATACTCCCTTTAATAAAATGCCTCCCTCATATGGCTTCCCAGGAGAAGATCAACAGTCAGAAATAGAACCCAGACCTCCTGACGTCAGTGTTCTTTCCACTCTGCAGTGATGCCCAAAAATACAAACATGTAAAGAAACTCTCCAAAGAAAATAAAGCCGAATTTGCCTTCACATAAACATGCCATAGAACCTTGATTTTGTAAGCTTCAAGTTAAAAGTTCTAGCATCTATGAACCACAATATTTGAGTTTGTGTGAATTAATTCACTTTAATATTTTCCTAAATAAAATTTCCCTATGTTGATTTTGAGTATAACGATTTACTGATATCTACAGTAATATTTTCATACTAAAAAGACAATGGAAAATAATCTTATATCATTTTAAAATAAAAGTATCTTCAGTGGAAATGAGGGTTTTTTTGTTACCTTACTATATTCCTTCAATACTATCCCTATAAATCTATTTTCCTGACTGTAGATTTTGATTCAAATGCTACTTTTAGGTGTCAACCTTCTCAGAGAAGATTGAACACCTGAACACAATGTATTTAGATTCACATTTTACAGAAAAATTTAAATTACATTTCTTTATTATTGTGTACTTGATGTAGACGTCCCGTTTAGGACCAAGAACTCAACAGCCGCTGATTCACAGAGTTTTGACGAGCTATGAGTCTGCGTTGACTACTGCCCACTGCAAAAAGAAGCTCCTCTAACCAAAGTTGAGGGTGGCAATAACATATGGATATAAACATAGATATTTGGAAGGCAGTTTGACTACCTGTCCATCCAGAAAAACAACAATAGTAGGTTCCCCTACAGCACTTATGACTTCTCTGGCCTTGGCCTTGGGTTACAGAACCAGATATTTATTTATTTTGCTGAAGCAGGTCTCAAATCTAATCAGAAATTTGCTGGTCATCCCCATAATTATATTGTCACTATTGTGAAGTATGAGTGCTCTCTCCCAGTGACTTGCTTAGAACTTTGAAAGCTAGCCAGCAGGGAAGAAGTTTCCAAGTCATTTCCATCTCTCTCTATGCCCTTGATGTCTCCATGACCTGTAACAAAAGTGTGCTGTGTCTTCAGCAAGAGGGTCTTACCATCTGGTTATGGTGGGCGTTCGAGAGCAATGGCAATGACATTGTTTGGGGGGGGTCCTCTGGGGCACATTTGTATTCTTATAACTCGATGAGAGAGCTACTACAATTTTTATTTACATTTACAAATGAGGGCACCAGAGTTTATTTTTTCTTTTTTCCTTTCCTTTTTTCTTTCTTTCTTTCTTTCTTTCTTTCTTTCTTTCTTTCTTTCTTTCTTTCTTTCTTTTTTTCAAGACACGGTTTCTCTGTGTAACAGTCCTGGCTGTCCTGGAACTCACTTCGTAGACCAGGCTGGCCTCCAACTCACTGAGATTCACCTGCCTCTACTTGGCAAGTGTTGGGATTAAAGGCATGTACCACCACAGCCCAGCTTGAAGCTTATTTTCCAAGGAGTAATTTTTCTGCTTTTCATACTAGGGAAGATGTGGGGGAAGGAACCATCATTTTTTGCAATGAGTGTCTAGCATCAGATTCTTCCACACTGAACCCTGTGTGTAAGATCTCAAGCACACCACACTGGCATTTATGCCAATTGATAAAGGTCAATGTTTTCAAACTCTCATCCTGATTTCAATATGACACTGGCCATCAATTGAAATGAAAGAGTACTTTGAGTTTGTTCTTTGTGTGTGTGTGTGTGTGTGTGTGTATGTGTGTGTGATGCATGCATGTGAGTGTACAGGCATGCACATCCAAGTGTGTACATGTGGAGGCCATTGGAAGACATTGTGCATCTTCTTTATTGTTCTCTGAGTTACTGTCCTGTGGCAAGGTCTGGCACTGAACCAGCAGCTTGTCATTTCAGCTGGACTGGCCGGCCAGTGAGCTTTCCAGTTCCACCTGCCTTTTGCTCTCCATGTTGTGGTTAGAGGCACATACAGCTAAAACCATTAGTGTCTTAATTTCTGTGGGCTCAAAAAGATCAATGATATTTCTGTTGTTTGCTTTTCCTTATGGTATCAAAGGGGGCAAAGTGATAGAATGGAGTGTGGTATTAAGGGAAGCAGTGAGGAGTCTAGAAAGCATCGTGTAATTTTTCATAGTAACATATCTAATAATCTTCTGTCTGCCATGTCAACTTGTATTTTGCATTCTTGCTGTGTGTGTGTATGTGTGTGTGTGTGTGTGTGTGTGTGTGTGTGTGTGCGCGCGCACATTGCATGCTGGTAATTAAACACAGAGTCTCACACATGCTAAGCATATGCTCTACCACTGAGCCAAATCCCCAACCCCCTAATGTTGTAATGCAAAGCAATGTGTGTGTGTCAAAATTTATGTTTCTTCTGTTTATTTTGAAATCAATTTAATTTAAAACTCTGGGGTTTTCTGTGGATATGTTATGAAGCAGCCTGTGGTTTATAACTGAAGTTGGTAATATGCCATTTTGCAGAGAGGTCAATCTTAAATTCTTTTAAAATATTTTAATTTTATTCCATGTGAATGTTTGTTTGCATGCATTCATGTTGAACCTCCTGCAAACCTGGTGTCCAAGGAAGTCAGAAGAGGCTGTTGTACAGTTGTTAAGTTGTATGTGGGTACTGGAAAACAAACTTGGATCTTCTGAAAGAGCAGCCGGTGCTTTTAACTACTGAGCCATCTATCCAGCCCCCAGCTCATATTCTTGGTCCTCAGTTATTATTCTCTTTGGAGACAAAGATTTGCAGTTTCTTACCACTAAGCTTCTTTTGTTTCTAGACTCTAAGAAGAGAACATGCTTGTAATGAAGCATATCATATCATCATATCTCTTAAATTAAACTGCATCTGCACATCAACAGGAATCTTACTGCTATCTTTGAGGCATCTAGAAAAATGAGATCCTTACTGAAATTCTCCAGAGTGTTGCCTTCCAAATAGGGCTCAAGATTGATCTTCCTTCACAAGAATGTGGGCTCCATAAGGTCTAGGACTTTGGGTCTTGCTTTCTGTATGTTCAAGTCTTAGAAGGGTGTTGGCCACATAATAGTATTCAATTGACTAAATTGCATTGACCAAAGTTTACACTTCCATATTGAATGATCATTGAAGGTGATTTATTTTGTGTTATTCAGTAAAGCGTGTGTAGAAGTAAATTGCATATATTCTGTATGTATAATTTGATGACTTTGGACATGTGTATATACTTGTAAGAGACCATGGTCAAAATCAAGGACATAGACATAGTCATTGTGTCCCAACACTGAGTTCATCTGGGACTTTCTAGTGGTGAACATAAAATTAACATGAGATTTACTGTCTTAACAATTTAAATGCATAGTACAAGAAGCATAATTAACTACCAGCACTCTGCTATACAGTTTACAGTCATTTTAGAGCTTAACAACTTATTAACTTAGTAATTAAAACTTTATGTCAATTAGACAACTCCCTATTTCTCCTTTCCTTGCTGTTTTTAAAAGTTCAGTGATTGCTAAATCTCAGTGGTAATTGGTTTATAAAATTATTATGTAATACAATTGTATTCTCTCATCTAATGAAGCCAATCTGATTTCCTTGAAAAAAATGGAGAGGACTACAATCATGCATAAATTAAACTGATCTTCCTTTTCTTTCAGAGAGATTCCTTTGTTGTTGTTGGCTGTCTAAAAGCAGCAAGTGGCACCCACTGCTGAAACCCTGAAGACTGTAGAGCCCTTGCGATAAGCAAAACAAAAGACTCTCATGGCAAGTGAGTGAAGTGCTATGTAATGGTGGAGAACTCTTTGTGCAAACCTAAGGGCATTTGAATATGGAATTATTATTGCTTTTGGCAAGTGCACTGCCAAAGATCCTTACCTCAGCTCTACCACTCTACCACTGACTGAGTCGTTTTTCCTTTTTATTCCCTTTAAAGTTATAAATACTTTTTGTTTGAGACAAAGTCTCACTATGTAACTCTGTTGGGCCTGGAACTCCAGTATGCAGACCCAGTTAGCCTCAAACACATTGAGGTCCGTTTGACTCTGTCTCAAGTGCTGGGGTTAACATGTGTACCACAAGGTCTGAACACAAATGAAATTTTAAAGAAAGTTATCAGTTCATGCTCCTAGATTAACACTAGGCTGTATCCCATTATACTCATTAGAAATAGAGAACATTTTATGTTGGAAATGCACTTCATAGTATACATGTAATGTATTGGGCACTATAGTTAGTAGAATTTGCAGTGTTACAGCTGTTCAGGCTCATGAGCAGGTTTCTGACAAAGCTGTACCTTATTGCTGCTGAGAATCTCATGCCACCTCTCTCTAGCTCAGCTAGAATTTAAAAAAATAAAGTTTCTACAGAATTCATAGCACTTGAATATAATCACTAAGTTAGGAAACTGTGAAGTAAACACCCATAGACTATCTGAAAGTGGTAACAGAAGTCTGGGAATAAAATGTTTTGTGTTTTATTTCATAGTACTTTCTAGCAAATGAAAAAGATGAATTGTGATGTAACATCTAAACAAAACCTGCAAGTGTCATTTCTAAAATAAGGTAGGATATGAAGTACAGGAGAAGGATTTATCGATGGGTGATTGTGTGCTAGCTGAGGGCAAAGCTCAGTTTTGATAGGTTGAGCATGATCTTCGCAGCATTTTCCTGGCTAAGGTGAGGTCTGTGTACACAGGACGCCAACAGGAGAGTAGAGGACCAAATGAGCTGCACTTAATAAAGAACGAATAAGCATCATGGCACTTAACTTTCATAAATCCTGCTGGGTGGTGGTAGCACATAATCTCAGCACTTGGGAGGCAGGAAAAAAAATCTTTGGTAAATCCCATTCTTGCTTGAGTTTGCATGGATCAGGTGTCACATCTCCAGATATAACAGTGACATCCAGATACACTTGGCGTTTTTTATTGGTGTTCAGGCCTGTTGGGAGCATGGCCAGGGCTTCTCAGCAGTGTTCCTTTTGTTTCCTTCCGTTACCAGTTCAGACAGAGTTTATAATGTCTTAGGCTTAAGGCCAAAGTTTAAAACTCAGATTTGCTGTGTTCGCTCTTGCTATCTAACTCCTTCATGTGTGTAGGTTTAAAAAATGTATTATTGCAAATGAAAAAGTGATTCCCTAAAGCTACTGGCATGTTTGGAAGTTCTATTGATTTCCTGGTTAAAAAGAGAACTGCTTGAGCATGTAATACTTGCAAAGAACATCTAAATGTGTGGAATTTTTGACTATTCCATTCTCATAGATGTTTTAAACTGAAATACTGAATCCCTTGAAAACTATGTACATCTTTGGAACTGTGGAGAAAACATTTTTCCCCCAACCAGCAGTCTTCCTTGTTCACTAGGTAAAAATGGCAAAGCACAGTACTGGATTGAATCGCTGCAGATGCTCAGAGAGAGGTTGATAGGGGAGCTTTTGACTCCAGTATCTCATTTGCTAAAACAGAATGATGGAAGAGTAATTAGATTCACCTTTCTGGGTTCTGTAGTGAGTTCTTGTGGCAGTAATAGATTGCAGGCATCTTTGAGCAGTGGCTGGAGATGGAAAAGGTCATCATCTCCATCTAGAAGAACAAAAATAAGCTCCCAGAGAACACAGCTCTACCCTGTAATTTGAAAAAGGCCTTTGAAGACATCCATGGTGTTGGCAGTAGTCCAGAACCAGCTGAACTGGAGTGCCCGGCCCTTCCAAAGTCCGGGGAAAGCCAGGAGACTGCTCATAGCAAACACATGTGTGCCCAGAACACATGAACCATGCTTTCTTTTGGAGACACTTAGAACTATCCAAAGAGAATAGATGAAACAAATGGTCTTCCAAGAACACAAACATTAACGTGTTCATTGGGAATTTTTTTTCCTTTTCCTACTTTGGGACTCAGTTTTCAACACATAATTAATCACTCTTTCTAGAGTCCTGGATTGTAGGCAGTGTTTTAATAACCAGGAATGGCGTTGGTTCAGTTATTTTTTGATGAGTGCTTTCTTAGCTCCCTTCCAAAGAAAAACGACAATAGACATTTCCAATTTTGTTTGTGCTAATACACAGAATAGTAGGCACATAGGCAATAAATGATAGGAAACATTTCACTAAAGTACCTAGTTACTACTGATGAAAATCATTCATTCTTCCATGCATTATATACTTGCTCAAGAGAGAAACAGAATCCATAATCTCAAGGAGCTAACATTTTTGTGTGTCTTATGAGCAAAACAGAATGAACAGACTATATGCAAGTGACAGCAAATCTATACAAACTACTAAAGAAGGGTAAAGGAATCAAGATAATAGTGTGAGCCATAAGGGTAATATTTGAGCAAGGGCTTCCTAAGCAGCTAGAATATAAGTAGACAGACTACTGGGTGATAAAGTAGAGTGAGGCACACGAACATCTAAGAAGAATGTCTCAGAACAGAATAAAAACCATCTATAGTTACGTACACACATGTAGTGTTTTCAGCATTGTAAAGAGGTCAGGAGCACAGCAAACAAGTGGGAGAGAAACTAAGTGTATGGTCAGAGATGTAGAGACCGGTTGAGGTTGGGACTGTAGGTCCCGGGGTGGGGGTGGGTGTCGCTGCTTTGTGACAGTCACTGAGGGGTTGGTAGCAAGAATAAACATTGGGAAGGATGTCTCAGTTTTCTTTCTATGTACTTCTGTGTTCAGCCAAGCTTTCAAATCCTAATCCTGCTCATGCCTTCCTTGTATAGAAGATCTTCTAAACAGACTAGTAACAATGTAATAAGAATTAAGTCTTTAAATGGCAGATAAGTAACCAGATGGTAAATAAACAGCCAGGGAGAAAAGCTTAGCAGAGCATTAAAGTCACTCAAGCCTTCGGTGAGCCTTAAAACAGGTGCAGCTTCAGCTCCTTCTAACTTGCGTTCTGGCAGGGACTCCGACGTGTCCCCTAGTTTACAGCCTCCTTTCCTTCCCTAGCCATGCTGTCCTCGGCTCCACTTGTAGCATGATATGCTCTGCCTCAGACTCTAAAATCGTTCACACACATCCCTCTCTAAAGTATTTGTCATCTGTCCTTTATCCAGTGAAGCCTAAGACCAGACCAGTTGGCCTTCATTAGGTGGACGAGGCCTGTTTGTTTGCTCTTTGGAGCTAGGTAGCAATTACAAGTGTTCCAGCTTGCCATATTACCTGATGCCTTCAGCATGAAGTCAGTTAGTGGACAAGCTGCGATGAATCATTCTTTCTGTTTAGGCAAGAGAGCAGCCAAAGCTGTCAGGAACATTTTAGCGGATTCCTATAGTGAACAGATTAGGCTTCTTGGAGTATTCACAATCCTGGAATTCCTGGAACAGGGCGCTGTTCTACTAGAAGATCCCTTGGCTTCATGTTTTCCCAGAGAGCTACCCTGTGTCGCCATACTAGGATCTTATTTCAAAGAGTGGCCACCAGCTAACAATGTCAACTCATCATTTGTGAAGATGTGCTTTTTCAAACCATTAATTTTTTTGTTTTTACTGTGTGTGTGTGTTTGTGCAATGTATATGCTATATTCCTCTGCGTGTGGGCACCTACATGCTCTGTAGAAGTGCTGGGATTATAGATACTCTTGCTATATGGCCCCATTTTATATGGGTCACTGGATTTGGACTTAGGTCGTCACACTTGCAGGCCGTGCGTTTTTACCCACTTTTGACCTACTCCTGGGGCAGGCATTTCTCTCTAGCATCTTTATCTGGTATCATTTTACTTTTGTTTGGTGGACTTCCTTTACTTTTTTACTTTTTAAAAAAAATTTAAAAAATTTTTTAGGTCTGCTGACAATGACCTTGCTTGGCTTTTATTTTTCAGGAAAATGTCATTAGTTTACTTTCACTTGTGAAACAGATTGAACAGATTTTCATTGTGTGTCAATACCACATTAGTAGGTTTGCTGTTTGGTACTTTAAAGATCCTGTTCTGTGATCCCAGCTCTCAGGAGGCTGAGGCAGGTAGATCACCTAGGCTACATTACTCTGTCTCAGACAAACAAACAAAACAAATTTAAATTATATTTGTCCACGTCATTTCCCTTGAATATGTTCAGTGACAAGAAGTCTCGTTATTTTTAACTTTGTGTTTCCTTTTTTCCCTCTCAAGCTGCCTTTAAGATTTTCTTTTCTTCAGCAATACTGTAGTCTGACTTTCTTTTGATTGTCAGCTTCTGAATAGTGATGTGGAGACTTATTATTAATAATGAAAGCTTGGCCTTAGCTTGGGCTTGTTCCCAACTGCAGGGTCCTTCCTGCAGGTAGAGTGGGGGAAGGGTCAGTCCGGGCCCTGGGCCATGGTCTCTTCCTGGGGCTGAGCAGCCGGATGGTGAATGCTGACGACTCACACCTTCCCCCCTACTAGTTACCACACACACACACACACACACACACACACACACACACACAGAGAGAGAGAGAGAGAGAGAGAGAGAGAGAGAGAGAGAGAGAGAGAGAGAGAGAGAGAGAGAGAGAGAGAGAGAGAGAGAGAGAGAGAGAGTCAGGAGTCTGTCAAAGCAGGATCTTGATTTATTCCAACAGGCAGGAACTTATATTGGGCTGAGGTAGGGGATGGGAAACATAGGATAGGGTAAGGTCACGTGAGGAGTTAAGGGCCAATAGTATTTCACCAAGCAGGCAGGTAGCTAGGCAGGGGGCAGTCGTACATCAGGTCTGACTGAGTCACTCCCATGTAGAGGTTACAGGTTAGAGACAGGTCACAAAACTATAGCCAGGCTCAGGAGCTTACACTAGGCCTCGCAT